TTAGGGTTCCGTTTATCTCGAGTCGCCGAATATTAACCGGATTGATTAGCGCGACGCAGTTCTTCTAACACAATACATATTAATACGCATAAGTAGCATACGCGACAGTGGAGCCATGACGACACGACTGTCGCGCATGCTACCTACCACATATACAGCCTGGTACGTAAAACGTAGTGATTATAAGTGTTGGAATCGGAGAGTAAAAAAATATTGTATGTTTCGTTCAAAAAGGTAGTATTTATTAAAAAAAGATTGTACATCTTTTCAAGTATAATACTTAATTAATAATAAATAAAGGAACTAATAAAATATACAATTTAATCATCAATTATACAACTTTAAATTATCACTTAACTTGGAATTATGGTATATTTATATCGATTTCTGCAATTTGTTCAATGCACTGCATTTCGTCATTACTTTTATCAGTGTTTTACGTAAATTTCTTGTCGGTTCAAAATCGGTGGAGCTGCCACTTTTGTTACGTTTTAATGCATCGCATAACAGTAAGATTGCATCTACAGTTCGTGTTACGAATCTGTTCCGAGTCCTTGAATTGGTAAGGTTGATCTTACTAAATATTCGTTCACGTTTGCGTTTGCGTTTGCATGTGGATGTACGAGATAATCCAATGCGAATTGGGCATTAGCGTTGAAAGGCTTGTTTTCTGTCAGATCACTCCATTTACTAAGCTTAGCTCAAAATACATCTACTTTCTTTTCAGTTTTTATTTCTTCTGGTATTTTGCAAGGGGTAGTTGGCGCCATTGATCAACATCTACGTCGATTCTTCTTGAGGTTGTTTTGGAATCTATACAATATAATTTCGCTCTTAATCATAATTAATATGAAGCTAATTGGTCTTTAGTTAGCAATATCGTTTTTGGCTTCTTTATGTGAATAAGTTTGGGATAAAGTCTCTATGTACTACAACATTAAATGTCCTTATTATAATTGGACTTAGTTTTCAACTGTACTACTTAAAACATCGTTTGGTAAATTGTCAGGTCCTGGAGTTATTTCTCATTTTTGTGAATTGATGGCTTTCTTTACTTCATCTTTAGCAATTGGTTGAACATTGTCATACCTATAAGTTCGCATTTTGTTGGTATACGTTTTCCGGTCAGCGTCTTTATGAAAGATTCATTTAGTAATCTGTAGCTCATTTCTGAATTTAAGCCCGTTTTTTCACTTGGTTTACATTTTAAAGGGGGAATCCATTATTTTATTTATTTATTTTTTATTTATTTAATCTTATTTGTTGACACCTTAATAACAAGGTGTCAACAAATAAGATTAAATAAATAAAATGAAAATACCTACACACACACACACAAACACACACACACACACACATATATATATATATATATATATATATATATATATATATATATACATAATACTAAGATATACATATATGTACCAACTTTTTAAAACAATCCTTACTTGGCGCTCTTCTTATGTTTTCGGGCAAGGTGTTCCAAAGTAGTGTTGCCTGAATTGTAAAGGAATTGTTGGTAAATCCAGTGAAATGAGATGAAATACTGATCTTATGATTAGATGAGGAGCGAAGAACCTTATCATGAGTTGAAAAGAGATATTGGAATTTGCCCTTCAGATATGTTGGAGAAGTTGGATTATTCAAAATTGAGAAAAGAACAAACAAAATTCTAGAGTTTCGTCTTTGTTGGATAGTGAGCCATTTCAGGCGTTCACGATAACGAGAGATGTGATCATATTTTCGAAGACCAAATATATATCTAATACAGCTATTGAGAAGACGCTCTAGCTTATTAAGAAGATTTTGGTTCACATCTGGGTAGCACACATCTGCATAATCAATAATGGGTATTATAAGTGTTTGCGCAAGTGTTAGCTTAGTCTTTATTGGGAGAAAGTTCTTCAGACGATAGAGGGATCGTTAGCTGGCAAAGACTTTGCGGCTAATTTCGGTGACATGCGTACACCAGTTCATTGCGTTATCCATATACAGGCCAAGATTTTTTACAGAGGAAGAGAACGGTATCAGTATGTCGTTGTAATAGACAGCAGGTAGGCTTGTCACATCAATTTTTGACAACATTCTTGAGCTACCTACGATTATAGCTTGACACTTCGTTGGATTAACTGATATTCCAAAACGCCTAGACCATTCTTTAATAGCTTCCAGGTTCAGATTTAACATTCTAATAGCATCATGGAGCTCTTCAATAGATGAGTGCAAGTAAATTCAAGGTCGTCAGCATACAGATGGAACGAACAGTTAAGAATAGATGTGACCAAGTTTATAAAAACTGAGAAAATTAATGGAGAATGTATACCGCCTTGCGGGACGCCAGCATCAAGACTAGCCCACTTGGAACTCTTCTGTCCGAAATGGGCAGACTGCTGACGCCTGCGAAGATATGAAGAGAACTAATCCAAGACTGAGGGTGCAAATCTTAAATAGGTTAGGATAGACAAAAGGACATCATGGTCCACTGCGTTAAAAGCATTAGAAAAGTCAACAAGCACCATTACAGTCACTTTCTTCTTTTCCATACCTTGTCTGATGTCTTCCGTAACTTTCAGGAATGCTCTAGTGGTGCTGTGACCGAGACGAAACCCAGACTGATATATTTTCCATGTTCTTTTAATTCCTTGAAAGCTTTTTTTAATTCCACCACTTCTTTGAATTGTGTCTTTCAATTGTTTATGATTCTTAATTTCCTGTTGTTTCTTATACTTACCTGTATCTTTTTTTGTGTGCTATAGTTCTTTTTCTTTCTTTCGGCAGTTTTATAGTTTTATCTCTAAATATATTTGTGCCTTTTACATTATTTACTTTCTTTAGTTGTGATAGTTCATATTCTAGATGGTTATATTTATGCACTAATGTTGGAGTTAACTATTTTTAGCAGTGGCTTGGTATAAGATGTGTCAATATTTTTATAAAATGTTATTTGTTATGGTTTTTTAAGACCTTTTTGGTGAATACCTTTTTAGACAGCTTACCATATGGCGGTTGGTGTTAAAGTTTAATTTTTATTTAATGTGTGTGTCACTGAAGAATATAAATACAATTGTTATGATATAGTCAATTTCATTTTTGTAACTTCCATGTGGATATAAAACCGCTTAAAAGTTTATTTCTAAGACAAAAAAAATTGATGAATGTATTAGTAAGAAATTAACGTCATCTACTGCAGTTATTTAACTTTTAAAATGTGATGTCTGTATTGACCATAATATAACGTCGTCGAACGGTCTTCTTTACGAAAAGTGTCTGAATATTATCCACAGTAAGACCCTGCGTTTCCGGTAAGAAGAAGATACAGAAGATGACGGAAAGGAAACAAGCGACCGCGAAGAAGTAGAAGACTGGACCCAAGCCGATTGCCGTGACTAGTGGGTTGAAGATGAAGAGGACGATGAAACTGCAGACCAGGGACCACTCACTGAGAAGCATTGATGCAATGCTTTTGATCTGAAAAGACGGTTCTATTAAGCAATCGCAATGACAAATGAATTTACCTTCACCTGGTTGTAAGCGGTTACTGTAGCCCATGGAAACCTGCAATTAACCTTAAACACAGATGAGTTGTCACATCTAAGGACTAAAATGGACTGCCTCACAGTGTGTAATTAAACCCTTCAGACCAGAACACAGCAGTGCAAGAAGTCGTATTTTACTCATGGCAGAAAAGCCAGATTGAGGAAATGGATTTGAGACGATTTTCACTGTGAACGAAGCATTCTTACTCCTCAGTGCATCTGCATTTTGATTTTTAAGCGAGGACAGTTGTAGATGTTTATGGGTCACAGCACCCACTTATACTCCACCAAATTATTGTTTGTCACCCTTATTCTTTAAAAACACAGTATTATTACAAACAATATTAGCCGCGATTTAAACTAGAGTCTTTTTATAAAAAACTAGGAATTACACGCTTTAATTCCTCCCTGTCCTTTCCGCCATCGGACAACCAGGCAGTCGGCAGGTCTTCATCCCTTTTGAAGTCGGTTTGCTTCGTATTTTGTAATGCGTACAGCAAAGGTGTGGAATAATTTCCGTCCGAATACAGTCTGGACGTCTTCAAGGTAAGAGTGTATAGGCTTTTTTTACGATAAGACAGTATGATTTACCATCTAAGGCTACATCACCACAAACCACCAGGTGGGATTGTGGTCAAGCACTGGCTTATAATAAGTTAAAAAAAATCCTGTTAATAATGTGCGAACTAACAATAAAATGGCAACAAAAAATATATAAAAATCTGCGATAGACAACGAGGCGGGTTGGCCAAGCCAAACGAGCTCAATATGGTAAGTATTCCCTTTTTAGAAGAACCTAAACGCTAAAATAGGAGATGGGCAGCAGCATCTACTAAATAACAACTCAATTATAATTTAATAAACAACTACGGATGGCAACCCTTTTTTTAGGTGGTAGAACTATGCTGCAGCTATATTATGGTTGTAGCACGAGTGGATCAGGTTGACCAGGGTGGGACCACGTCCTCAAAGAATACCAGCGTAAAATAACAACTTAATTCTGATGTGTTTCAGACGTTGAGGTTAGAAAACCGAAAACCCTTTTTATTGAAAACGAGGCACTCCATCTTAGTCCTCAGGGGTGACAACGCATCTGCATTTTGATTCTTAATCGAGGATAAATGTATATGTCTATGGACCACAGTATCCACTTACCACCAAGTTGACTGTGTGCTCGTTTGTCACCCTTATTCTATATAAAAAACCCCAACCATCAAGCGTGGCAACTATGTCAAATATGGGAAATATAGCAAATAATTTTTAATCTGTAATTCGTTGACAAATTTGAAGATATTGTTAGTCGATATCGTCGTCATTAAATCGCATCACCGGAGTCCCGCTCTGTCAAACACCCGCAAAAGAGAATAACAGCCGTTTGGGGGGCAATTTATAGCAGAGGAATATGTTCAACTGCAGACTTTTGATAGGCTATATTGACTAAGTAATCAATGATATATGTGATCAATGTTTACTAACCTCTGGTAAGAATATCTCTGCAACCAACACGCAGGGAACGGTCCCAGCTCCGCACGTGAAAGTCAAGCCGAATATGTACATGAACATTGCGGTGACCCAGTGCGGGCCCCAGTGCAGCTGAATTTGGGTACCCAGAATCACGCAGCATACACCAGTACAAAAGGAAGCGTAGATCATTAACAGCTGAAATTGGTAATTATATTTTAGAAAATTACGTGGAAGCCGTGTAGTGGCGGCGTAAGATTATCCAGTACCCCATAGCAAGCCGGGGATCTTGTAAGTGTCGACAGAAGGTAATGAAACAGGAGCTGGACGGAAATATTTTCCTAACTAGAAATCTAATATAGTAATAAAGTGAAATGTGGTTGTCAGCTCGCCTGCCAAGCGTTGCAACTATGGCAAATATCCGCTCTATGAGCATCATATGGGGCTGGCCTATTAGCATTGGACTTTGTATATAATATATTGATGAATTATGATGTAGCGTGTTGGTATTAAGATGTCAATGAATTATTTAATAATTAAAAGAAACAGAAATTTTTTCACGGAGATGATGAAATATTAATATAATATTAATTAAATATCTGCTTTTGCACGTACATGTACAGGCTTTGCATCTTAGTGTTCAAAGGTGACAACACAAATGTAGCCATGTTTTCTTGAAGTTCTTTACGTCCACCATACGAACTACAACGTTCGTATGGTCACTGTAAAGAACTAGAGACCTCTTTACTGGCAATGAGGTACATATTTCATTTTAGTTCTTGGGTTTGGTTTTGCATTTTGATTCTTATTGGACGAGTGCCTACCGTCTTCGTGTCATATAATCTGCTTACCTTTGGACTTTGGTTAGTTTGTCAGCTTTAATGAAAGTACTCGACATAGATACAACAAACATAATTTACACAACTGCACTCGAAAACCAAATTTCAAAAACGTTTGGCTTGAATTCAAACACAGTATCCGCAATATAGTTGTTGGCAAATAGCTTGACAGTAAGATTTTATGCTGAACAAAATAAAAGTTTTTGTTACTCGCGCGATAATAACACAAGCGGCGGCTGACACTGGCCAGCAGTGGCACCAGTTATAAACTCATTCGCATCCGCAGCGATGCTGCGGTGCTCGCGAATCATGTAAAGCAGGACCGGCTTTAGGCAATATGCCTAAAACCGGAGCGTGGGACAACGTATGAAAAAGCCAGCTTTTATCCAGATTATCGAGCCAAGTTTCGCCCATCTGGCAACTCTCGTGGTAGAGCCGCGTTTAAGTAAGTGACGGCTGCACAAGATACCAGTGCGAAATAGCAGCATTCTACCGCTGTGTTTTCTATGAGGTGTGAAGAGAACCGTAAACCCTTCTAACTTAGGCCTTATGGGTGGGAATGTACTTGTATTTTGATTTTTAATTGATGATTAATGTAGATGTTTTAAGGCCACAGCATTTATTTTCTCTTAGATGAATTGTGTCAAATAATGTAATTAGAGGATAAAATTGGACATGAGTCCCAGTCTTACCCGTCTCCCCAACCGCTCAATTAAGAAGGATCCAATAAATCCAGCCATAATGGTCACTAACGTGAAGATCACGCAGCAAATAGTTGACGACATTGAGGGCACAGCCTCGGCGAAGAGAGGCTCCGCATACACCTGCGCCACTAACAGACCTTGGAATATAACCGTCGTGTTTAACACTACCATCACGAATAGAGCTCGTCGGGTCGACCTCGATTTTTCTGTTGAGGAAATAAAAAATAAATACATTTACAAATACATTTTCTTTACGTTGTAGATATATTTTGGCCTAAGCACAACTGTACACGGCTAGGAGACCAGGCTCTCAGAGAATACCAACGTGAAACAGCAAAATAATACGGCGGTACTGTAAAGATCCTCTCCCCCTCTATCTATAAATAAAAAATAGAAGTATAGCCGTCTATCAAAATATAAATTTACGTAACCAGGATAATAAACATATGTTGATCTTTCTCGAGTATCTACGAGTATCAAAGGTTTATTTATAGGTCGTTTAACAAATTTATGGCGTGATCATCTTAGTTAGGACCTTTAATATGCTCTGTTTATTTAGTAACTTAGTTCTTTTAGGTGGTTTTTGGAAGAGTGAATATTCGTCAGAGCATTCGAAAGCTGTTGGTAGTGCCTTATAATTATTTTAAGCTAAAGAACCCGATTAAAAAAAGTTTAAGAACGTTTAATCGTCCCTATTCCACTTGTATCAGTCAATCAATTCTTTATAATTAATCTCTTCCCATTTTTTATAGGAGAGGAGGCAAACGAGCATGCAGCTCACCTGATGGCAAGTGACTACCGCCGCCCATGAACAACTGCAATACCAGGGGAACCAGGGGAATTGCAGATGCGTTGCCTGCCTTTTAAAAAAGAGTAGGCTCTTTTCTTGAAGGTCCCTAAGTCGTATCCTTCCGGAAAAATCGCTGGTGGTAAACTTTTTCACAAGGAAATTGTACCAGGAAGAAAACATCTTCTAATTCGCACAGTGGTGGACCGCCAATCATCCAGATGGTGTAGATGGAATCGGGAGTTCTGCCGCGATGTGCGTTCGTGAAATTTCGCGGCTGGGACTAATCCGAACAATTCCTCAGAGCACTTCTCATGGTAAATGCGAAAGAAATGCAAAGAGATGCAACATCTCTTCGCAGCGCAATGAATCGAGCCAATCGGAAAGGACTCGGTCGTCGACGATTCGAGCCGCTCTGCGCTGGATGCGGTCATGTGGAAGGAGCTGGCACTGGGGAGCCCCAGCCCAGAGATGGGAACAGTATTCCATGTGAGGCCGAACCTGCACCTTGTAAAGTTGCAGGCGTTGTGCCGGCATGCAATACTGTCCTGCTCTGCTGAACACGCCAAGCTTTTTAGAGGCCAATTGGGCCTTCTCTTCCAAGTGACCACGAAACTGCACATCACTCGATATGTCGTCGCCGAGGATTCCGATACTGGCTGAGGCAACAAGGGAAGTGCCTTGAAACTGAGGAGATACGAGAAAGGGGTTCTTTTTAGCGGAAAACGCGCAAATTTGTGTCTTCTGAGGATTAAACTGGACTAGATTTAGCCGCCCCCAATCCGAGACTTTGTTCAGCAAAGACTGGACTTCAGACACAAGTTTGTTCCGGTACTCGGTGACGTTTTCCCTAGAAATATTGGCACGCCCGGTGTATAGAGCATCACCAGTGCTGTCATCCGCATAGCAATGAATGCTACCGGTTTGCAACATATCATTGATATGTGCAGAAGAAACAGCGTTGGTGATAGCACGCTTGTGGACCACCAGCGTTAATAGGCTTGTAGTCGGAACATGCACCGTCTACAACGACCTTGATGCTCCGATCTGCAAGAAAGCTGGTGATCCAATCGCACATTTTCTCGGGAAGCCCATTGGAAGGGAGATTCGAAAGAAGCGCTTTGTGCCAATCCCGATCGAAGGCCTTCGCTATGTTCAAACTAACGGCCAATGCCTCCCCCTTGAACTATACTGCCTCCGCCCATCAATGAGTCAGGTAGACCAAAAGATCACCAGCTGATCGACCCCGACGAAAACCTTACTGGCGGTCGCTAATCTGCTGGTGATCCTCAAGGTACTGTATGAGGTGGCAGTTTATAACGGATTCCATTATTTTGGAGAACAAGGGCATGATGGCAACAGGCCTGTAGTTGTATGGGTCTGAGCGGTCGCCTTTTTTGGGATCGGGTGGAGAAAAGCTGTCTTCCATGAATTCGGGACTACGCCTAAGGATTAGAAGTACCGGAAAAGACGCGTTAGAACCGGTGCCAACTCCGGAGCACACGTCCTCAGCACAATTGGGGGATTCCTTCAGGCCCACTCGACTTGTGGATGTCCAGGGAGAGGAGTGCTTTGCGGACCGATCGCTGTGAGAAGCGCACATCCAGCATGGAGCACTCACACCGCGGGATGGTCGGCGGTGGTTCCCCCCGTCATAAAGAGTCGAGTTGGATGCAAAAAGGGAGCCCAAAAGGTCGGCATTCTCTTTTGCGGCGTGGGCCAGTGAGTCGTCCTCTCTGTGCAGGTAGTGAAAGCTTACAGAAATTCTCTTGGACAGCTTTGGCAAGAGACCAGAATGCACGGGTTCCCGAAGGAAGGCGAACTAGTTTCTCTTCAATTCTGCCTATGTGCTGTGACTTTGCCTTGAGGATAACTTTTTTGAAGGACTTGGAAGCGAAGTTATACTTCTTTTTAAGCATGCTGGTGTTTACATCCCGAGCTGCCGAAGCTTCAGCCCAGGCCTGATGGCACTCCTGCTTACTGCGTAATGCATTCTTACAGGAGCGACCAAACCAAGACTGAGATCTGCCTCTGATGGGTACCACAGATGATGGAATAAATAGTTCCATTCCCTGTAGCACCACATCAGTGACAGAGTCAGCAACAGCGCTGGGATCATCCGGCGAGAAGCAAACCCGCTACCATTGTTAGGATGCAAAGAAAAACCGCATTCCGTCCCAATCCGCCGACCTGTAATGCCAAACATGGCGGCAACCTGCAGAACGCAACCGCGAGGGGAGCATGAGTGGCACCACACTCAGGATCAGACAATGGTCCCAAGAGCTGAGACGACATCGACGGAAACCTGATATCCGTCCAGGTCATTTCCCATTTTGTAAGGCTCACAATATTTATATAAAATACCCGATACAAGGGTTTCGCTCTAATATATTTTTAAAAAAATGTGGGGGAGGCACACGGCTCCACACATATCGTGTGCAGTGAGCACTAATCAACCGATGTACTCCCCTCGACGAAGGACGTTAAATTGGGAACTGGACTGTAGTTGACAGCAAAAGAACTGGAGAACCAGTTAAAAAGGGCTTGGCTCCTTGGTAGGGCGTAATCAACGACTGAACGGCTGAAGATAGCGGGGGTAAACTGTTACACCAACACGTAGAACAACTCAGTTTTCCCGTGACCGTGAGTGCTGCAAAGCACTCATGTCGGGAGTACGAAATATATAAATAAGTTATAACCAAACACGATAAACTCAGTAAATTTAATTTTTATTTAATATGTAGTATTCTCATAAATATATGCAGTTTTTAATATTTCCTCTTAAACCAAAGACATTTAAGTAGTAGTAAATTTACATATCTTTGCCCAAAACGAATTTTTGACTCGGCGGCCTGCCTCAACGTAGAATAGCCATCGGCGTAAGACATGATTATAATATGAGTGCACTATTGTGTGCGATAGTAGAGGTGCTTTACGTGTTTCTAGAGGCACGGGGGTGAAACGTTGCCAACATCCTGATTAATTATATTTGCTGCTACTGAGAAATTATTTTCTTATTAGTTCATAAAGAAAGAAACGGGAATGTACTTACTTATGAATTGCCACCAGGAAACTTTAGGGATTTCTTTTATATCAGACTTTAGTTTCTTTTCTTCAGGCAAAGCATCTGTAAATTAAATTGGATTGGTTACTTTATTAACTTTATTGGAGACAAAACTGAAACAAAAGGTATAAAACATCATACAAAGAAAAAAAACAAAGGTAATTAATTACAATTGTTTACATCCAACTGTGTCGCTGAGGATATACATAATTATGTATATTATTAATAAGATGGTAAATAACTATCGTCTGTACAATAAGCAGGGCAAAAAGTAAATACTTATGTTAACAGACGGGAAATGTTAATTATATTATTTCCAGACCATAATCTTAAAACTAAAAGTTACAGTATGAAATATCCTACTATTAATATATATTCCTTATATATAATTCATAATTGTTACTAAAATATGTTTTTAAATGGGCTTTGAAGGTCGAACGGGATATAAGAAACATATCGAAGTCTTTAAGCATTTAATTGTGGGGGACACACATTATGTATGTTTACTAGTGCTCCTATAGTAGTCCTAGGTTTTGGTATACAAAACAATTTTTAATCATGATTTTGTGTGGTATCCGATAGCTTACATCGGCCAGTAAGTGTAAATACTTTATCTCACCATCACCGATTTCCCAAAAATAGGTAGGGTCCATTAAAGAGCTTCGCTCTTTTAATGAAAACATTTGACATTTTGTTAAAAAAAAATTTATACGAATCGCGAGGTAAACGTATTCGATAATTGACAATGCATAGGAACTTATTTTGGACATTTTTATAGTTTATCTTCAAAAACCAAATAGAATGTATTCTTAACTGGGGACACACGTTCTAGACGAGATCTGACCAAATACGCATAAAGACAAACAAGAATATCTTTCTATTTAAATGATTTTATTATAGGTGTAAGATTTATTTAATAGTTCTTCGATATGCCTATCCAATGTAAGTTTCTTATCTAGATATACTCCAAGATCACTTATATTAGATTGTGTAAGAATTTTAAGACCAGTAAAAGTATGCGTGTACTTCATTTTTGTTGCTGTACATGTTATGTGTTTTCATTTATTATAAGCCAAAAATAATATGTTGATTTTACAATAGTTAGTAATTCTGCTTAAGTTATTCTGTATTAAGTTTAGTCGTCAAATTTAGCAGAGTACAATTATAGTATTATGTAAATTTACAGTATTCCAAGCGAGTTGAAATTTCATTAATAAATAGGATAAAGAATAGTAGCCCCAGTATTGATTCCTGTGGTACGCCAGATGTAACTACAACTGGTTAGTAAGAAAAAACAGGACTACTGACTGTATGCCGTTT